AAAGTTAATTTGCCCTGGAATGCAGTTTTATCATTTTGGAAACAACTAAACTAGTTTCTGTAGAACACACAATTTTCTCTTGTTCAAACATTAACTATGTGTATACCAGAAACAGCCAAATGGTTATGTTGCCCTTTCAACTACCCTGGCAACTTCGCCTATTCCTGTTGAATGATGGTTTCTCTTGGCCCACGTCCTTACCTTATTTGGTCAAAACTTAATCGTTTGACTCCCTATTCCAGGCAACTTATCCCCCACTCTCCAGAGACCTATCGGCCCTTCTCACTTCCTGACATAATATGCCTTTGTCGTGGTTTGGCAGGAGTCATGCCATTAAGATGTCTTACCTTCCCAAAATAATTTTTTTCCCTCAGAGTCTTGCTGGTCCACATATCAGGCCACATTGTGTGAATGGAACAAAGGAACATTCTCCGGTTCATCTGGCAGTCTTGCAAATCTAGACAGGCCACCTGTGTTTTGTATTACAGTTTTGTATTAATGTATGGGGGCCTGGCATTCCTCATTTGGGGAAGTATATAGCCACTTCTATTGCACCACTTACCTTGCTCCCTCATGGATATTGTAGGGTGTTTTTTAACCTGTTATGGATTTCTCCTCCTCTTCGCCCTCCTATACAAGACCCTGCCGTACGACTTGCCTTAAAACATTGTGACTCAGTAAAATATTCTTGTGGGTTCATATCCCCTCATCTTCCCCTTTGATGTATTCTTGCTAATCCCTCTTTTTTCCTGGCTTTTGAGTTGGTGGTCTTATAAGGGCCTCTCTTTTGGACATGACCTGTTGTCTCTGGACGGGATCAAATCTTTCCATTACTTGCGTACCCATTGGCAGATTCGCTTGACTGAGAACTTTAGATATCTTCAAATTTAGAGTTATGTTCCCTCACTACTCAAGCATTGTAGGGGTTGTCTGCACAAACTTACCCTTTTTGATTCTCGCTGTAAATCAGATCCACACCCCCTAGGGTCTCATTTCTTTATTGTACACTGCTCTGACACCTCCAGTAGGGACCTCCAAATTCCCTTTTATGCTAGCCTGGGAGCATGATTTAGGTGAGCCTTTGGATCTACCTGAATGGGGTGGGATATGGCTTGCTGCAGTGAAATGTTCGCCTAACGTCTTGGGTCTTGTGGCTGCCGTGGGCTATTGGAAGCAGTACTGAAATTGCTGTTTTTTCTTTTACCAGTGGTTACCCCTATATTACATTATTCTTGCTCGCTCATAATCTTTGGACTGCTACTTTGATGTGTTTATGTGTCCCTAATCTTTCCATGTGTTCTTTTCTATTTGTGTAACAATACTGTTCCTACTGTTTGTACCATTTAGTTATTTGTGTTTTTTCAATAAAATTCTTGTAAAACCAAAAGAAATTGAAAGAAAAATGTTTCATTTGGAATCTAGGTTTGCAAACCAATAATGTTGGTAAAGGCTTCAGAGAGGGGAAAAGTTAGAAGATTGCTTTCAAATCCCCCTAATGCTCCCGCCAAGGCCCAATGATTGTGCTTGCCCCGCAAAAGGAAGATTGGAGGCCTTCTGTGACGGTATCTATAAACTGAGAATCATAATACTACAATAATTTAATATAGTATAGCATAATAACTAAGCGCGCTTGCTGGGGACCTGCGGCGGCTGTCTTTTACAGCATTGTTCCGCACATCTCCTAAAATCATTAGTCTGCATTGTTTTAGAAAAACTGTCACATGGGGCGTGGTCTGAGCCGCTGAACATGGCATACGTGTACTAATTGAGCTCCTCACGTGGACACTCATGGCTGTATTTTATAAGCTATATACATCATATACCCACTCCTTGCTACCCGATGCTTCTCCACCCAGCTGCTTCTTTATCCATGGGCAAGAAAAGTTTGGGTCCACAGCGCACGGAACGCAGCCAGCGTTCTTCGGCAGCGCGCCATGCACAGGCCACAACCGCAGCCACGTGCGATATGGAGTATTCGCCTCTGTACCTGGGGCAGCATTCCCCATCTGAGACTCCCTCAGATCTGCTTGATTCTTCTTCTGCGGGAAGCGCTGCTAACTCTCCTGCTCAGAAACCCACTGATCTGCACCCTTGGGATATTTGCTGGACCGCTTCAAATCTATGCTGCAGGCAAAACTTAAAGCGACGGAATTATCTCTAATCTCACTAGGGCGCTAATTGACCCCTGCACCCGAACCGATCTCCTAGAGACCAAAATGGATGATACTACGAAAGGTTGAACGCTGACTCCCCCTTCCTCACTTCTCTGCAAGCAAAGCTGGCGGTGACCGTGCTGAAATTAGAGGATCTTGAAAACAGGAGGGACAGGTGTGGGAGAAAGGCGGGGGGGGTTGCATTTATGTTAGAAATAATGTAAATATGCACAGGGACGATATCATGTCAAATAGTGGAGATGACGTGGAATCTTTGTGGCTAGAACTACATAGGATGGACGCTAGCCGTAAACTTATTGTGGGTGTTTGTTATAAACCTCCGAATATAGGGGAGGAGGAGGAGGCACATCTACACTCTCAAATAGAAATAGCTGGGAAGCAGGGCAATGTCAGTCGTCGTGATGGGCGACTTCAATTATCCAGACATCAATTGGGCTAATGGAATCTCCCATTCGACAAAGGCGGCCCGTTTTCTGAACATATTGCGAGACAATTTCATGGATCAGACGGTTGAGGTTCCAACCAGGAAAAATGCCATCCTAGCTTTAATCGTTTCTAATAATGCGGAGTTAATTGAGGATATTGCAATTGGGGAGACACTGGGTAACAGTGATCACTATGTGATTACTTTCAATATTGGGTACAAGAAAGGGAAGTGGACTGGTCGGACAAGAACCCAAAACTTCAGAAAGGCTAACTTTGATAAGCTACGCCAACTAGTGTGTGACATCAAATGGGAAAACTTACCGTATTTCACAAACTGAGCACTGACCAGAAGTGGGATTGTTTTAAGAACACATTACAAAAGGCGATCACCAAGGGTATACCAAAACAAAAGTAAAAAATTAAAAACTAAGCCTGTATGGATAAATAGAACAGTGAAGCAACACATTAAGGACAAGAGTGGCATTTAGAAAATATAAGATGGAGGGGACGGCATTGGCGTTCAATAACTACAAAGAATGTAATTTAAAAATGCAAAAAAGTAATCCGGGCAGCTAAAATAGAGTGCAAAAATCATATAGCCAAAGTTGGTAAAAGAAACCCCCAAAAATTCTACCAATACATAAAACAGTAAAAAGGTAATAAAGGAGCAGATAGGCCAAATAAAGGACGAAAAAGGGGAGTTAGTCACAAACGACAGGGTGAGGGCCAAGGCGTTGAATACTTTTTTCTCCTCAGTATACACTCAGGAAAAAGACGGGTTTAATGTGCATAAGAAAACACATAGTTCAACACAAAATACTCCTCAGTGGTTGACGGAAACCGGAATACAAAATAGGCTTAAACTACTTAATGCAAATAAAGCATTAGGACCAGATAACCTGCACCCAAGGTACTTAAAGAACTAAGCCAGGTTATAACGAGACCATTATTCCTCATTTTAAAGGACTCCTTAATCACTGGTCGAGTACTAAGCGACTGGCGGAAGGCTACGGTAGTACCAATATTCAAAAAGGGGTCAAGATGCCAACCTGGGAACTACAGACCAGTTAGTCTTACATCAGTAGTTTGCAAACTGTTAGAGGGAATGATTAAGGACTACTTAGTAAAATTTGTTCAGGATAATGACATAGTAAATGATAACCAGCATGGATTTAGGAAGGACCGTTCCTGCCAGACTAACCTGCTAACTTTTTACATCAAAACAGGTACTTGAAAACAAAATATATTTGATTGACAAATTTTAAATGCATCTTGACCCGGGGGGAGGGTACAATAAAGAAGAATGGGAAAATAGTGTATATGCATACACTACACTTCAGCTTTAAATTTTAGTTCCTGCAATAGATCCTAGAAATTCCTGCTTTCTGCTATAGCTATGTTATTGGTTTTGGAAGAATGATACATTCTTGGAGAAGTTATTGGAAGGGTTACACTTTTTTGGCAACAAAATATTTTAAACCAGTACATTTTAAGTTGACCTTTTTTTCCTTTGTTCTATTTGAAATCATATTGTGTGGTTTAAAAGATATAAAAGGTGGCAAATTTACTCAAAACTACACTTCAATGAAAAATAGTGCAATCTTTAAATCTTTTAGAGTAATATTCTTTTATAAGATGTACAAGCTTAGGTTGCCCATATGTAACCAAATATTGTGACCTTGTAAGTAGTAGCTTGCAAGGTTTGGAACATGTAAGGTTCCCTGTGGACAATATTAAAGGAGAACTATGGGGTCAGTGTTTTTCCCCATAGTTCTCCAAAGGGTAACGGGAGAACACATACTAGCGTCCTCCCGTTACCCTAAGCTCAGTATACCGCGAGCTACAGCTCGCGGTATACTGAGACGCCGCAGCCGGGACGGATCACGACTCTTTTGACGGGATCCGCCCAGCTGTGTGAGTGACAGCTGGCTCTGCCTATCTAGAGGCAGAGCCAGCTGTACCCGCCCCCTCCCCCGTCCGTTCCGCCAGTCAGCGCTGGCAGATCGGATCGGTGAGAGGGGAATGCAGCCCCTCCCCCTGTCACGGCAGAGAGCCGTGAGAGGTGAGGGAATCCGGTATGTGTTCCCTCACCTCCCGTTCTACTGAGCCGACCTGTGACAGTCTCATTGTCACAGGTCGGCTTAGAACTATGAGATGAGTGGAAATCACTCACCTCATAGTTCTCCTTTAAGCCACTCTAGCAGTTTGGAGAAAAAAATGTTTTCACACGTCTGCCAAATCTGGGAAAGTATTATGTTGAGTCCTTGTGTTTTTTTTTTTGTAGGAGAGAACAGGCAGGTCTCTCCCTGCCCATCACTTTCAGAGTCTGTAGCATTTTTTTTTTTTACAAAAATATTATTTTTATATCTGTTTTTTTATATCACATTATATTATTTATAGGTGCGATCTCCACTTTCACACTCCATCCTAGGAGAGCAAACAATCTATGTCTCTTCAGAAATCGTCTCCATTCTGGAACTGCATTCACATTTGGTTTGGGGCATAAATCTCAATGTCACCCCATGTCTGACTAGACATCCTGGAGTTTTTACAGTTTTGTGTCAGTCTCAAGAGCCGGCAATGATTCCTAAGCAGGTAAGCAGTAGTATTACTTTTGCCTTTGAGCTTTTTTGTTTAATTTTTTTTAGGACATAGTAGGTGAGGTTGACTAAAGACAAAGTTCCATCCAGTACAACCTATGTGTGTATGTGATTGTGTGTCTCTGTATATATATGTGGCTTTAACACTTCCCATATCCTTGTAAATGTAGTGAAAGAAGACACTGATCTAGAAATTTCTTGAATTTATCAACGCTATCATTGGATACCACTGCCTGGGCAAGGGAATTCCACATGTTTACTACACAGTAAAAAAAAAGCCTTTCACAGTCTAAGATTGGACCCCCTCTCTTCTAACCTCCTGTTGTGTCCTCAATATAGTTCTCGGTGTAAACAACTTGTTCCTTATATTGTGGTCCCCATTGATCATTTAGAAGACTGCAATAAGGTCCCCTTTTAAGCGCCTCTTTTTTAAGGTGAAAACGTTTAATTGCTGGAGGCGGTCTTCATAACTTAGGCCTTCTATCCCTTTAATTAATTTTGTAGATCTTCTCTGGACTGTCTCAAGCTCAAGGACATCTTTCCTGAGGGTTGGTGACCAAAACGGCACAGTATACTCAAGATGAGGCCGAACCAGTGATATATAAAATGGAAGTATTATTCTTTTATCCCTTGCAGGGGTGTGGAAATTTAAAAAAAAACTACTTGTCCAAGGGCTAAAGTGGGGGCCAAATCTACTTGTCCTTCACGACAATCTACTTGTCCTTCACGACAATCTACTTGTCCCAATACAAAAAATAGTTTTAATCAAAACTAAGGATGCACCAATACCGTTTTTGCGGTATCGAGTACGAGTACCGATTTTTTTGCTTTCGGATCTCACCGACACTGAATACTAATACCGGTGCTTCCGCTGACATAGAGCAGGCTTCCCTGGTAATCAGGAAACCAGGCAGCAGGTAATGACATCCCGCTCAGGTTCCTGATTGCCACGGAAGCCGGCTCCATGTTGTTTGGCCTGCTTGATTGCGATTGGCCGGGAAACCTGCTTCCCGGTCAATCAGGAAGCCGGGTGGCGAGTAATGACCTGATTGACCGGGAAACTGGCTCGATGCTGATTGGCCAGGAAGCCGGCTTTCCAGCCAATCAGCAAGGAGCCGGCTTCCCGGGCCAATCAGAAAACCAGGAGGCGGGTCATTACTTGCCGCACGGCTTCCTGATTGCATGGGAAGCTGGCTCCATGTTCCCCTACGGCACTGCCAGTCAGAGAAAATTTTCATCTGGCCGTAAGTTCCAATATCGGGGAAGGTATCGGAGCATTTGGGTGAGTACGAGTACTTGCCCAAATACTCGGTATCAGCACGGATACTAGTATCGGTGCACCCCTAATCAAAACATATTTTACTGTGCTAAATAGCGCTTCTCACTGGTCAGCGCAGTCATCTGACCACGTTGACCAATGAGTGCTTGCAATTTGCGAGCGAAATTCAAAATGCATAGGGGAGGACTGCGCTGGACAGCAGTACGGGGGACAGATAGTACACCCATACTGGCGGAGGGGAGGGATTGTTCGCCGAAAGGTAAGTATAGCCAGGGGGGTGGCGGTTTGGGAGAGACAGGGCCAGATTTCATCGGGTAATTTTTATTTTTCCATATTACCTGGGAAAATGAACTTACCCTTTAATGCACATTATGTGTGTGTAAGAGAATTCTGGCTACCACCATGGAATGGCGGCTGCAATCTCAAAGCACATGCAGAATGTCCTACGCATGCGTTTATTTGCATGCAGATGGCGGGGGCAGCAGGGTTTAATTTTTATTTTTATTTTTTTTACTTTTTCATTTTTCATTTTTAAAATCTTTATATATTTTATCTTTTTTAACTTTTAAAATTTTTATTTATTTACTTTTTCCCCTTTAATGTTCTTCCTATTACATAGGAGATTAAAATCCCTTATGTGATAGTTTGGAGGTGACAGGTTATCTTTATGGAACCTGCCCTCCAACACAGTACAGCTGTTCTGTGTAGTTCCTGACAGCCGAGACAGGTGGCGCTGTGATTACAGCGCCACGGTCTCAGAGAACACACAGAGAGCCCGTAGAGCAGACGTTTTTTGTCTGCTCTAATGGGCTCTATGGCTGAGCCGTTGTGCCTTAGTTTTCGCCTTAGTTTTATGGCTGAGCCGTTGTGCCTTAGTTTTAGAAAACTACGGCGGGGGGTGCGGGCAGAAACGATCGCCGCTGCTCAAATTAATACAAGTGGTCTGATCGGACCACTTGTATTAAACGAGCGGCGGCGGCTCCACAATGTACATTCAGCTCTGCTTGTCCGGAGCCGGGCTGAATGTACTTTAAAAATACTCGCCCGGCGCCCGAAACTGCATGTCCCGGGCGTCGGGCGATAGGAATTCCACACCCCTGCCTTGCTAAAATCCTTCTTTTACTGCAGGACAGTATCCTGTTTGCTCTGCTGGCCGCTGTTTGGCATTTCATACTATTGCCAAATCTGTGATCTATGAGCACACTTTTTTCCATGTTTGACTTCCCCAATATGTAGTTTGCGCACACGTTCTTAGCTCCCATTTGCATAACCTTGCATTTTTCAATATTAAAATGCATTTGCCATCTTGTAGCCCATGCCTCCATTTTTATCTATGTCTTGTTGAAGTGCATATATCTCCTGTTTAGAATTTACTGTCCTACATCGTTTAGTATCAAAAACAGAAATCAAACTATTTATTCCAATATCTAAGTCGTTGATGAATAAGATAAACAGGATCGGTCCGAGGACCGAACCCTGGGGCACCCTACTCACAACTTTTGTCCAATTCGAAAATGACCCATTTATTACTACCTTCTGGATCTCTTCTTGCATCCATGTGCATAACATTTCATCCAAACCAATAGCTTTCAGTTTATGAATTAAACATTTTTGGGGTACTGTATCAAATGCTTTAGCAAAGTCCAGATACACCACTTCTACTGATACTCCTCTGTCTAAATTAATACTGACTTCCTCCATTTTCAAAGAAAATGTTAATAAATTGGTCTGACATGAACGGTTCTTCATTAAGCCATGTTGGTTACTACTTATACCAGTTTTATTTGCAAATTCCTGCATGTAGTCCCTTATCATGCCTTTGTATATTTTGAACACTATTGATGTTAATCTGACTGGCCTATAGTTACCCTGTGTATTTGTTTCCTGTTTTTATATATTGGTATCACATTTGCTTTCAGCCAATCAGCCTATACCGTACATGTCATTAGAGTGTCCATATAGATTATGTACAGTGGTCTGGCTAAGTTCCTTGAGTACTCTGGGATGTAACCCGTCAGGTCCTTGGGATTTGTTTACATTTAATCTTTCTAGTCTCTACGACCCTGCTCTCCAACAGCCACTGAGATGCATTAAAACTTTTGTTATTAATTCTGCAGCTGATGCCCTGATCATTACCCCATCCATCTCAGCTGTAAAGACATAAGAAAATAATTTGTTTAACGTCATGGCTTTCTCCCTGTCACTGGTAGCTAACCTACCCTCTTCATCCTTTATGGGACCTACATGTTCCGTCCTTACCCTCTTGCTATTTATATATTTAATGCATTTCTTAGAGTTTCTTTTACTTTATGTTGCTATGTTTTCTTCGTTTTCTATTTTTGCAGCCCTGATTGCTCTTTTACATCTTTTATTGCATTCCTTGTAGTTTTTGAATGCCGTTGCTGACCCCTCTGACTTGTATGTTTTGAAGGCCTTATCCTATTCCCTTATGTGTTGTTTTACTTTGCTAGTTAACCACCCTAGTCTAACGTTCGCTTTTTAAAAAAATTTATGGGTAAACTGAATGCACTGGCCAATTTTGTTATTTAACCCCTTAAGGACAAAGGCCTTTTTTTCATTTTTTGTTTAGTTACATATGTTGAAAAAAGGCACAAGTCCATCGAGTTTAACCTATAGAGACACGGAGAAAAAGAAAAAAAGCATAAACAGAAAGCTATGCCCACAATTACCCCCTGTTAATCCAGAGGAAGGAAAAAAAAAACCCTATAAAGCATGGTTCAATTTGCTCCAACAGGGGAAACAAATTAATTCAAGATCCCATAAGGCAGTGGTTCTCAACGTGTGGGTCGCGACCCCGTCGGGGGTCGTATTACTATTTGCCAGGGGTCGCCCAGCGGCTCCCGGCTGCCTGGGAGAGGAACACTTTCTCCCGGAAAGGTTTACTCTGCTCAATCGAGCAGAGTAAACCTTTCTCTGCTGGGTTTTTTTTTCTGACATCGGAGCCGCCGTAAGTCAGAAAAGAACCCAAAAAAGTTTTTTTTAATCCTGACGGTGTACATAACGCAATTATATCCACACAGTGCAGCTACCAAAAAGATTGTGCTTTCTAATCTCTCTCACAATCTGCTCAGGTAAGCCTGCAACCCCCCCTCCCCCAATAGTGCTGCACTAATGTATTGCTGGGGTAGTGGGATTTGTAGACCTCTATAGCTGATGGTACATTGTGCTGTATATGTACCATCAGCTATAGAGGACTACAAATCCCAGCAATACATTATACACTGTATGTATAATGTACTGTTGCTGGCATTTGTTGTATTCCTATATAGCTGGTGGTATTCTGCATTGCGCCGTATAATCATTATACAGCGCAATGCAGAATACCACCAGCTATATAGGACTACAAATCCCAGCAATAATAAATTATACGGTGCAATGGAGAATAACACCATCTATAAAGGAATACATCAGATCCCAGCAATAATACATGATATACAGTGCAATACAGAATACCAGCAGCTACAAAGGACTACAACTCCCAGCAATAATACATTATACAGCGCAACGCAGAATAACACCAGCTACAGAGGACTACAAATCCCAGCAATAGTACACTATAGTATAATGTACTATTGCTGCGATTTGCTGTATTCCTCTATAGCTGGTGTTATTCTGCGTTGCACCGTATAATCATTTTACAGCACACTGCAGAATACCAGCAGCTACAGAGGACTACAAATCCCAGCAATAATAAA